GAGTTGTAGGGAAGATCATAACTATATTCAGACCGGGAGGGGGGGGGTGGGCTTTTGTGGCCCCCCTTGCTAAAGCGTTAAATAACTTCAAAACCGTTCAAGCTAGGACCAAAAAACGTTTTCTAAAATAAATCTGGGAACATTTTAAAGTCGTCGTGACGCATACGTCAATAATGATGTTACCATGGCAACCAATTTTTGACAAAATTTGCATTTCTCTAAAAAAGAGGTTTTATTTCTATTTTTACTGATTTGAATTATTATTTACTTCAGCATTACTTTCATCAAAGCTATTATAACTGTTAATGAAATCTAGGCCTTCTAGTGACTAGTTTGAGAAAAAACATGAGTTTTATATGACCAAATGGCACATGCTGAGTTTAATTTCTAACAGAGTTCATTTCTCTCAGAATTGCAGATTTTGCAGATTTTTTTGTTTCCTAAGCATCCTTTTATACTCAGATAAGTTTTCTGTTAAAAATTCCTCAATTATACGAGTTTTAAGTAGAATGAAATACATTTAAATAATTCAAAATGGTGGATCCAAGATGGGGGGTGCTTCCACTTCTTGTTTGGTGATAAATGATGTCATCATGACATCACTGCTTTTGTTAAAGATCATTTTTGTGTTAACCAACTTCTTGATTTTATCAGAGACCTTACCTGCTTTGAGGGAAATTAGGATTCTAACAATTATTCAACAATATGGCATCACATTAGGCCATGAATTGCATCAATCAAGCCATTCCCAGAAGTTGGAAATGATGAGTACATTTAGATCATTCTGTGTAATTTTCCAAAGAAATAATGACAAATGTCCCGGGAAAGATACGCCTTCAATTGAATGATACATAAGTTTAATTAGAAAGTATCTGTGCAGATGCCTCACAGCTCCATAATTAGGTTTATTGAGTGGGTCAACTGAATCAAATTCTGTTGTTTTGGGCATTAGTCCTAACGCGTGTTGATAAAGCCAGATTTTAAATATTGGTGCTGGTCTTCAAACAAAAAAGGAGTTTATTGAAAGAAAATTCTTTTCCATGCAGTGAAAGGTCATTCGCAATGACAGAAATGTGATGGTGAATTTTAAGCGTAGTAAATATATGAGAAAGATGTTTATTCAGTAAGTGACACAGACAGCTTGGGAAGGAAAAATTCAAGTACGCCCAACAAGAGCCGAATGTCCAGAGCTCACTGAGCTAAAGGAGACTCATGGGAGCTTAGGCCACAAAACTAGGGTCATGTGATAAACATCCTCCATACTGCTAGGACTGGAATGTTGATATGTGCTTAATTATGCACAAAGAAACATGGTGGTGGGTGTGGTCAAAATGCATGCTTCTAACAGTTTAAGGCTTCATGACCCTAATGGTCTTCTTTCTTAGCACCCATAAACCTTGAGAGGCTAATGTTCTAATACAGTAGCATCACACATTGCACACAACCTTTTAATATTATTGAAAGAGTATTTTCCTTTTATCAACGTGAACTCACAATCTGAAATAATATTAATGATGCATGACTCTGTCATAACAAAACAAAAACGTTATTATGTAGGCAGAGGGGAACACTTACTCTAGCAGGAAGTGGCCTCTTATGTAGCCTGATTCTCAGACGTCCGAGGTCGTTCGCGGTCCCTTTCGCTTCCCTCCCTCTCCCGACGGGAGAGGGAAGGAAGCAAAAGGGACCGCGAATGACCTCGGACGTCTGAGAATCAGGCTACCTCTTATGTTGTAGAGCACATGTATTTGATGGCAATAGGAGGGGGGGTACTTTTCAATTTATGGTCTGGTCTGAATGGAGAGTCTGAGTGTGATTATTATTATTACCCATTTTATTGTTGCTAGCAGTAAATGGCTAAAAACTGTAGTGTTTACTGATTAGCCGCCAAATTTGAGTTTTGGTGAAAGATAAAGTAAAACTGTCAGAGGTAAAAAGGTAAGGTGAACGCGCAAACAAGCCAAAGGCCCAAACGGCCAGAGCTTATCCTGATTTCTTAAGCGAGAACCATGCCTAGGAGTATTGTTAGTCCCCCTGAATGGGATGCCAGTCCATCACAGGGTTACCCCCAGCAGTATGTCACCCAGTATCCATTTATACACCTGGGTGAAGAGAGACAAAACATGACAGAGCCAAATGCCATACATACAAGTTACGTGTCATCAAGGTACCCCCATTGAAACCCTTTAAACATGCACTAGTTAACAATACAAGCAGTTTTTTTTTTTTCATTTTTGGTACCATTATAAATATTACGATTTTGAAGCATCTGTATAATAATATGGTTGGATGACAATATTCATATTAAATTAAATTAAGAAAATGTATGATTTTACAATTCAGTAAACTGAAATAAAAGTGAGACTGTTTACCTTTTCCTCTTTGCACACAAATCCTCTTCACTGAAATAAAATCCATCTTTTTTAAATAGATTTTCTAAAGTTCAATGTAATAAATTATTGTACAGATACAAAAATATATATCTTTGGTTAGCTGTCTTTCTTTCTAAGATATAAAAAAGCTACAAGTCCTGGCAGCAATATGCCAACAAAAAATACAACAACTATAATTCCCTTCCATCCAACACCACAAGCAGTTCCAAGGCCTTTCTCCTGTTGTTGTTTTCTAAGTTTTATAGGATTTATGCAATTAACCGTCAACGTCCTTGCAACCTCATCAAGATTCTGCTTCCGCAAGGGTATGGATTTGCAAATCATTTTGAGGTCATTGTCCATGTGTTGTAAAAAGCTGTTTGGGGAGTCAAGCGCCGAGCGAATACTGACAGNTACCATTATAAATATTACGATTTTGAAGCATCTGTATAATAATATGGTTGGATGACAATATTCATATTAAATTAAATTAAGAAAATGTATGATTTTACAATTCAGTAAACTGAAATAAAAGTGAGACTGTTTACCTTTTCCTCTTTGCACACAAATCCTCTTCACTGAAATAAAATCCATCTTTTTTAAATAGATTTTCTAAAGTTCAATGTAATAAATTATTGTACAGATACAAAAATATATATCTTTGGTTAGCTGTCTTTCTTTCTAAGATATAAAAAAGCTACAAGTCCTGGCAGCAATATGCCAACAAAAAATACAACAACTATAATTCCCTTCCATCCAACACCACAAGCAGTTCCAAGGCCTTTCTCCTGTTGTTGTTTTCTAAGTTTTATAGGATTTATGCAATTAACCGTCAACGTCCTTGCAACCTCATCAAGATTCTGCTTCCGCAAGGGTATGGATTTGCAAATCATTTTGAGGTCATTGTCCATGTGTTGTAAAAAGCTGTTTGGGGAGTCAAGTGCCGAGCGAATACTGACAGTTCTGACAAAATCTGCACTAGGTTCATCATAATCTGAATTATCATCATCACTATCAATATCTGCTGATGAAGATGGCCTTTTGTCAGGTAATATTAAAGGTGGAGGCCTTCGCTTCTTATCGGCAGTTTCTGTCAACAAACCATGTTGTTGAACTGGGATTTTGATAGTCTTTAATGCATAGAAGTCTTGATCACTGTACAAGTTATTTGCTCTCTTTAATTCTGCTACCTGTCAGAAAAAAATAAGTTAGAGCAAGATCAGTATAAGGCTTGGAATAAACAATTAGAATATTAACTCATTTGCTCCAAGCCTGTGAAAACAGCCACGATTTTGCCACACCACCAAAATCCCTGTAAAATGACATCTGAGAAACAAGAGAAAAATTCCATACTAATGAAAAAATGCTCTCTGTCATTTTAATTTCTTTCTTTCTTCTTTCCTTTTTTTTTGTGCTGCATCAAGTGAGAACTCCAGCACCCCAATGTTTTGTTTACAGACCTGAAAAGCAACGTATTTTCGGGAGGTGCCCCAGATAAAAAAGGCTGAACAACCTGCCCTCTCAGAGCTCAATATAACAGCCAGTCAGCGAACAATGTCCGGCCTCAAAGGCTACTTTGCCAGCCAAGATCTTAACACGCCAGACATGTTGACCAATCACGCACACTCTAATTCTTAAAGAAACAGCTAATGTTTACCTGTAAATCTTAGATTTAACTCGTTGTAAAAATACAATGGGTTATTCCAGAAAAAATCCACACTCCCCTAACAGAGGGCATGCTGGCAAATCTCACGGGAGGGAGGATAACGGCTCTAGAAATCCAGATGGGAGGCGGGTTTAGCTTTATCCTCAGGAGTTACCTTCATCGATGTCTCCATTGTTTCAATCGATAAGTTTTGAAAAAACTGCTTTACGTTTTTCAAATTTTATCATTCTTTCAAACTACAGACTTCTTACCACAGTGACATTTATTTTTTTTAAAGTTTCCATCAATAGGCTCGCCTTCATTACTTAAATGTAGAAGCAACAGGCGATAACTTGACGATATCAAGAAAAATCGCATAATTCATAAAAAAGTGCTCAATTCAAGTAAAGCAAACAATGATTTCCACATTTTTCCAAGGTCAAAGCTATTTCAGGATGATTTACCACCAAACCTGCCATACAAGTAAGTGTGGTTGTTTGTGATTGTCCAGCAGCCATTTTTGAAAGGCACGTGCAGTGGCTAGCAGTTTAGCGCATTATGCAATAACCCACTAAGTGTCCTTTTTCTTTGTTTCACTGTCATTTTTCATCCACAAAGAGGAAAACCTTTTATTCGAGTACATAGTTAGTTTTGGGCTTTATTGTGGTACATTGCTGTATATTTTGCCTGGTCTAGAAAAAAAGGGAGGTTCACTCAAATGTGAACTCATTTGCAAAAAGTGTAAGCCTGTTTAAGAAGATGTAGAAATGTAATCTTAACTTTCACAACAAACACAGAATTCACGGAAAATTGAGACTTATTTAATAAAAAGATCATCTAAGTGCCTAGAAGAATTCTTCAACATAATTGAGTGTGAATTAAAATTACCGCGTCTA